CGGGCCCGGTGCTGGCGGGGCTGCGGCAGGCGCGGGTTGTGTAACGTGTTTGTGGTGCTGGGAAGGGCCCGGCCCGCGCAGGAGCTCTGGGCTCGCTGGGCCATGCTCGCTGGCAGAGCCTGGCGGGGAACTGGTGCTTGGCTGCAGGGACAGCCGGGCAGGGGAAGGGGGGCCTGGACCTGGTGCAGGGCAGCAGACGTGGCACGCAGGCTGGCATGACCTCGGGGATCGCTGGCAGGCGCTTGGGGCACGTGGGGAAGCAGCGTGTGCCCCGGGTGGGCACTGCCCTGGGGCTGCACACCCAGCAGGTTGGCACACTGGAGGTTCTCCCATCGAACCCAGCGCGTTGTCCTCGTGCAGGGCACAGCAGGGCGGCTCGCTGGCTGAGCTGATGGGAACAGGTCCCCGGGTACAGCTCCCCAGGGTGCCAACTGGGGGGCACCCAGCCTTTGCTGTTTGATAGCTGCAGGGAACCACCCCGAGCCAGCCGCCTCTGGGCAGGGTGCACTGGGGACCTGCCTGCTGCCTGGCCATCGGGCTTGGGCTGTGTGCTGAGTGCCCCAGGGCTGGCCCTGCCTTCCAGGCAGCACAGGGGTGGCTGCGGTGTCAGCTGCCACGGGGCACCCGTGTCAAGGCTGGGCACCCGTGTCAAGGCTGGACCCCCTGCGCTGTGCCCTGGCAGAGCTCCAGGAGCCTCAAGGGGAGGAACAATGTGGGGAAGAGCAGGACGGGTGTCACAGTCTGCCATGTGGGAAGCCCCACAGTGGCTACAGAGCCAGCCGTGTCCCTGAGCCGTGGCCAAGCGCTGGGTCCCACCCTGTGCTCCAGGCTCAGGCTGTGGTGCTCGGGGACGGGGGCGGCCAGGGGCCGGCAGTGCCTGACAGCCCCCTGCTTTTGGCAGGTACCCGCATCATCTACGACCGCAAGTTCCTGCTGGAGTGCAAGAATTCACCCGTGGCCAGGACCCCTCCCTGCTGCCTGCCCCAGATCCCCGGTGTCACATCCCTGGCCCAGTCCAGCCTCGTCAAGCTGGAGGAGCTCAAGGAGCGGAATGAGAGCGAAGAAGCCATGCCAGGTGAGCAGCCCAGGCAGGCAGCACCTGCCTATGCGCTGCCTTGGGGCATGGGGCTCCTGCCTGGCCGCAAGGGGAGATCCCCACTCAGCCCCAGTTCCAGCTCCTGCCCCCTTTGCCTGCATGTTTCTCCCAAGGTAGCCCCCTCCTAACCCTGGCTCTGTATCCCTCCGTACACTTGCAGATCAAGACCAGTTTGAGATGGACATCTGAGTTTCCAGCTCCCCGTCTCCAGGCCATGGCTGGGCCTGTTCCTGGGCCTCGTGGAGGTGCTGGCACCGTGACCAGCTGGCTGCAGCCCTCTCTGATGCTGGGGATGGACGTGTGACACCTCAGGCTCTAGCACAACTGGCTGGTGCAATTGCCTAGGAGCTCATGCTTGATCAATAAACACCATGAAACCCCTGTGTTGACCTGGTGCATCTCTGTTGGGGCTCAGCTGGGTCCTTAGGGCCCCGGGGAGGGGAGCTAAGAGGGGCTGAGCAGCACCGGGAGCCCTTTGAGGGTGCAGAGGATCTCTCCCTCCTGCACCAAGACCCTGCGGGCTGGGGGTGGTGAATGCAAGGCCTCAGGGTCTGCTCCCAGGCTTGGGGTGCCGCATGCAGCCTCTCCCAGCTGTGGCAGGGGCAGCTGGCGAGGCTGTCCTGCGAGAGCAGGAGGGAGCAGCACAGTGCAGTTTGCCTGCTGTCCAGGGTAAACGTTAACACCCTGGGCTTACCTGACCTGGTGGGCATCAATAGCACCGTGATGTTTCTCCCTGTCCCCGAGGCCACCCAGGTCTCTCGGGTCCCAGACTTGGGTCTGAGCTGTGTCAGGACGGGCAGGAGCCCAGATGGGAGCATGGGCTGTAGCTGCAGCACAAACCCAGGCTGTGCCAGGCTGCTCTGGGCTGGCAGCAGGTCAGCCTCCCCAGCCAGCCCAGAACTCCTCAGGGGCTGTCTCCTGCAGCAGAGCTGGGCCATGTGCCTGCTGCTGTGGGTCCCCCCAGTGCCAAAGGCAAGGCCAGAGGGGCCAGGCTTTGCCAACCCCTGCAGCAGGGAAATGCATCGCTGTCCGCTCGACCTGGGTGATGCTGGGGGTGCTACCAGGGGCATTCCTTCCCTTCACGTCTTGTGGGCTGGGAGCAGCCTGCCTGGGCGAGAGCCCCTTGGCCAAGCCAAGGCTGCCATGGCCTCGCCCAGCAGTCCCCTCTCCTGCTGCTCCTGTGAGAGAACCACGACCGTCCGGTGCCAGAACCCTGGGGCAGGCTGTGGCCAGGGGCAGGTTAGTGCTGTTTATTAAACGTCATGTAGTGAATCGCCGCTAAAATGTCACAATGATTAAAATCCCCTTTTCCTGGGTGAGGATTGGGAGGCAGAGGAGGTGCCCAGACCCCCTCGGGCAGCGGGGGCCCTTCTCCTGCCGGTGGCCCTGGACATGGGCTGCCCTGCTCACAGTCCGCAACCACGTCCCTGGCATCAGGGATCCTCCGGGCCAGGCCCGGCCTGGGCGCTGCCATCTGTCACCACAGCCGGCTCCGCAGCAGGCAGGCTCCTTGTCTCGGCGATCAGGCGCTTGACGCCCACCAGCCACTGGCTCACCTCGTTCACGTGGTCCACCATGAGCGAGCGGTGGATCTCGTCAGCCGCATCCCAGCGCTGCTGCTGGAGCTCTGCCAGGAAAGGGGAACCCATCAGTGGTGTGGGGTCAGCCTTCCCATGGGTGCCCCCTGCCCGACAGCCTGGCGCTGGCCTGGATGCAGCCCTCCTTGCCCCTCACCTTGCACCAGGAGGCTCATCCTCTTCCTCACTGGGGCTGACAGCTTCCCCTGAGCCCACGCATCCCCCAGCACTGTCAGCCGCCGCCCAATGTCGTCGCACACTTGTTTCTGGAAGCAGAGATGAGCTGGAGGGGGGACCCGCCCCCCACCAGCTCTGGGGAGTCCCCGGGGCAGGGGTGGCTCTCCTCGCCCCAAGGACATCCCAGGAACAGGCAGCCCCTGCCTGGCTGCCCCTCCTGCGCCCCTGCAGTGCGTGGGGCAGAGGCGGGGGAAGGGGCCG